AGGAATGAAAAAGCTCCTGGACTTGATGGCATCCCATCGGAAGTCTTCAAGCACGGTTGTCCAGCTCTGGAAGGCATACTGCTTAGACTCTTCAACAAGATTTGGGATGAAGAATCAGCCTCACAGGCTGTAAAGGATGCAGAAATACTGCCTCTCTACAAGGGGAAGGGTCCTAGGTCTGACTACAATTCATATGGAGGATTTTCCCTATTTGCTATTGTCGGAAAGATCTTGGCAAGGAGTCTGCAGAGAAGGATTACTATTGTAGTGCCACAAGACTTCCTTTCAGAATCGCAGGCGGATTTCGACCCGGGCGAAGCACCATTGACATGTTTTTTTTTAACCAGGCAACTGCAGGAGAAAGGCCGGGAGCAGTACATGGACTTATTTGTGGCTTTCATCGATCTTTACAGCCTTCGATAGTGTGCATCGTGCATCTCTGTGGCAGCTGCTTCACAAAATTGGATGTACGCACAAGTGAGTTTCCGGCATAAAAAGTTTCCATGAAGGTACAGTCGATTGTGTGTCCAATAGTGGACATTTGTCTAACCCTGTCAGCCTCAGCAATGGGGTGAAACAAGGATGTGTTCTTGCTCCAACACTGTTCTGTATTTTCTTTACGGTAGCTGCATTGTACCTCAATAGGGGTGTTTTCATTCGATTCCGCACGGATGGAAAGTTGTTCAACCTACGTCGACTTCAAGCAGTCACAAAGGTGACTGAAGTACTCATCACAGAGCTTGTATATGCAGACGAAAGGCACTAGTGGCTCACTCAGAGGAAGACCTTCAACAGATAACCAACCAGTTTTCTGAGGCTGCAAGGCGATTTAGTCTTACCATTAGCCTGTCCAAGACTGCACCATGCTCTTCCTGGCACTCCAACTACAGCACCAAACATAGCCATTGAACACACTCCCATTAAGTCTTTGTCACACTTCAAATACCTTGGTGGCTTTGTGTCCACAGAGGCAACCATCGATGTCAGTGCTGAAGGACTCGAGTCGAGTCCCGATTTTCAAGGACTCGGACTCGGACTCGGACTCCGATAGTGAGGTCTCGGACTCGGACTATATGGAGGACTCGGCCCGAGTCCAGACAAGAAAAACACATATTTTACCTATAACTTTACCGCAATTTCATTTAAGAAGACGTAGTTTTTAGTTTTCAAGATAACGTGTCGAGAATCACTTCAACTTGAACGCGCCGCCTCGCCTACGTATAGCTAGCCCTACGTGACGTGAACTTGTACGGTCCATATTGTGTGATACGGATACTGTGGTCGTGTAGGCACGGACGTCCGCGAATGCCCGTTCGGTTTCCTGACGAAAGACTACCTAACGACGCCATGGAACCAGACTAATGAGACTGTGCCTAACTGGCAAGTTCAACACTGGCCTGGTGGCTTGCATGGCATGATTATTGTTAAATTTCTATATTGTACAACACTTTTTTAATTTGTACACCCTGCGAACATTCTCATACATTTATCTGCTAAAATATTGCGTGCGCTAGAATTTAAATGAAAATCTTTTTTCTTCAAAACGATGTATGATGTGTGAAGGTTGGGGCGCACTCGGCACGTATGCAGCACGCGCGTGCACATACTGAGCAGTCTATCCGATCATCCCGCAGATCGTTGGCAACACGTGTTCAACTTCTTGTCGACTGCCGAGGCTTCTGATTTATATGTGCCACTCGATAACACAGATCATGTGGGCGCTTCCCCGAGTGATCAAGTATGGATTTACCAATCACAAGAAGTATTCATGCCAAAAGAAGAGACATTCTGCAAACTGTAACTTTTGCAAAGCCACGGTTTCTGAAATAAGTGATCATGGAACTACTTCCATTAAGCTTGAGGAACTTCGTAAATGATGGGAAAGATCCAGTTGCGGGGGGGGGGACCCTTTTCCCCAAAAAATGTTGTGGTAGGCGTTTATACAATTCTGTGAAATATTTTACTTGTATACCCCATCAAGTGCACCAGTGGAGCGCATTTTCAGTAATGGGGGTATAATAATGCGTCCCCATCGTGCCAGCTTATCTTCCCGCATGTTGAATATGCTTATGTTTCTAAGATGTAAGAGTATGTTTTAGTTTAAATCTTAAATAAGCTAGAACATAATGTGGTGGTCAAGAGTTTTGCACACGACTAGAGTTTAAACACAAAATTAAGTAACATGATTGTAGTGAAAGCGGCGGGAATAGGCGGGGTATAGGTTAGGACTGTACAGCTTAACATAGGTACAGTAGGAAGTAGGGTAGAAGATGGTACAGGAGGTGCCCTGACCATCAAAATACATAAGTTTGGAGGCAAATATATAGATATCAAAAGGAATTGGTACGGCAAAAGGAATTGGTCATATTGTAGCTTAACTGTTTTCGTAATAAGCCTTTCATAATATCACTTCCACACATGAGGCAAACGGTCTGGCCTTTTTTTAAATTTAAATGATCATTTTTTTTTATTTTTCTGTTAATCATGCTTTCAAATAAATACTTTAAACCGAGTGATGATTTTTTTTTTTTACATAGACGTGTATGCCAATCTGTGTCGGTGTCTTTAATATGTGTTAATTTGTGTTATGTTTCAAATCGCAAGTGATGTTATCCTCTCTTCGCGGGGAAGGGGGAGTAGGGCATGCGCATGATTCTACCATGTATTTTTGTATACATTCATAATGTGCTTTTTCAACTTTTTCAACTCTTACACTATCAAATGGACTGTTTAAATTTGAATATATTATTAGTATTATAATATTACATATACATTTTGTATTTGTTTTTTCTTTAATTCTTAATGTCATTGTACATTTCATGATATTCAGCTTTTGGCTGCCCTATCTGAATTTTAAGCAATTAACTAATAAGACGGTAAAAGAGATTGAATCTGAGTCTTTAACAGTGTTGTTCGCCCATTGTTTGCGTCTTAGATTCTTAGTGAAAGGACTTCGGGCAGAAAGTAATAGTTGAAAGATGAATTTTTGATAAGTAGTTTTCTTTTATTGCATAACTATTTGTAACAGTTTGATCTGGCTGTCAGACTTGCTATCTAAATATTTCCTATCAAGTAAAACACTAACCTATTTTGAATGTTTTTTTCTCAGTTTTAGTTTTTTGCCAGTATCAGACTTATCGCCACCACCCTTTCCAGTGGTACACGTGGACGTTGTTCACCCAAGCCTCGTCGAATACGTATGAGTGCCTTAATCGTTTTCGTCATTGTCAGTTCGTGGGCTACTTTGGGCATGGTATATGTCGGCATCCTTCTCCTCTCCAGGCGACTTGCTACTAGATGGTCATTGGGTGGTGAGCTCATCCGCGCTTATTTACACACACAAACGAGATAGACAGAGAAGAGGACATAGCTAGGTAATTCCAGCAATTCCAACGAAAACAGCAATTTATGCAAATTCATTCTTCCCCGATCCACCCGAGACTAAATCGTCTACCACAATACATCATCGATTCTCCTTCAAACCTAGTTTTTAGATTATCATTTGAAAGCTTCACCCTGGGCAGAAAAGGGATCGCGATAATTTGTTTCATCAAAAGCTTCTATTTATTTACTCCATCGTGGAAGGTTTTCAGAGGCAACAAAAATGTACACGACACACGCTCTCGTACAATGTTAAAAATAATTTTACTATGCGACGAAATATAAACCAAATGAAAGCTGGTCTGTCTGGAAAAACAGTGGTGTAATTTATTTTCAAATATCTTTTTCGGTTTTGAAACAATGGCTTTCAAAGTTTTAGGTATTTTATCAAATATCTGCCGCTCATTTAGCTCCATATATTTGGCTCAAATGAGATCCACACAGCGGTGAAAGCAACTTGTGAGGAAAATTGTTTGAAGAATCAATTGTTTGGACTGTATTGCGCTTACTTTTCACTATGGTATATAAGTACTTGGTTATTGATTTCTTCCGGGATTAGAAAGCACCCCTGTGCACGGATGCCCTCGAGTTCAAGAAGCAGTTGAAAACCAGAGAAAAAAATCAAACGGGTCAAATAAACCATTTTCCCGATCGTTACTGGTTGCATGTGTACTCTACGGAATTACATTTCTATGGGTTATTTATCAGATAAGTATTTACCATCGTAATAAGGTGAAAAACATCCCGATCACATATGTAGTATGTGTGTTCCAAAACCCCATGTACCACAATGAAAGTCTCCATGGCGATCCCATGGGAAATCTCCATGGCGTTCCCGTGTGAAATTTCCATGGGATATTTTTGAAAGGGTATAATTAATTCATTTTCATTCTACTTCCGGTAATACCGGAAGTGAAGGTCAAGCGGTTTCACCACATAGAATGCGTTCGATTACTCCTCGCGTAATGACAGACGCGCGCTGTGGAGCTAGAGCTGGAAACAGGCGTCGTCAAGGTTTTTTTTTAGAGGGGGCAACACATTTTTTCCAAAAAAAACCTGTTTTTCTCAACAAATTCTAAATGATAATTATAAATATCAATTATGAAAATTCGCGATACAACATCCTGCCCCGATTTTTTTTTTTTTTTTTTTTTTTTGAATTCAAAAGCAATGAGTTAACCAATCAAAATCCAAATTTGACCACATTTGTAAACTTCAATTTTGAAAATTTGTGCTCCTTCTTAATTGCAGTCAATCTACTACTCTATAGGGAAGAACCTATAGCTACTCTGGTATGTTTCCCTTATCCCTTAAAATCATAATTTCTCCGGATTCTTATACATGTTAGTCTTTTAAGTTGTTTTTCAAATTCTTATTTCGTTCTTTTATTTTTATTAAAGTACGAAGCTCTCCATTCGAGCTAATTTTACTTTATCAACATAAAGCACCTCAAGTATTTATTCTTAATACGATCTTCTATTTCTGTTAAAATAAGAAGCTCTCCTTCCGAGCTAGTTTTACTTATGAACATAAAGCCTCTTAAATATTTGGATGGGTTTCCCCGCTGGAAACTAACAACATATATATTAAATTGCTTTTATTATTGGTTTTTGCGTTAATTAGAAGTTAACACCATACAGACGACGAGTGTTTTGCAGGCACTGTTTCAGGACGTCTTCCTCCCGATCTCCTCGAATTTGGGCTACCTCTCTTGCGACAAGTCGAGCCATCGTTGGGTTGCTGTAGCCGATGTGAGTCAATCCCCGTGGTAGAAAATACGGCGCGTCGGTTTCAAGGAGCAGTCGTTCCAGGGGGATTTTTCTGGCGACCTCTCTAGGCTCTGCGACGTCCCACGTGACCATTGATGTCAGTCCAACACATAGGTTAGGGAATTTCCCGCACCAGATCTGGGCCGCTCTCCAACTGTTTGTGTAACAGTGTAAGTGAATTTTCCAGTGCTGAGGGAGGATCTCGGTGGCGATTTTCAGGCACCGCGGCAGTGAGCACGACTGGCTTTCGCAGTTCAACGGCCATTTTCAACAGACGCCGAAAAACGGATTGTTGAACAAGCTTAAACCGTCCGTGTTCCCCTGAGTAGTCAAGTCCTATCTCTCCCAGGGCACAGGTCTTCGGGTGATCCAACAAACGTCGGATCACTCGATCTGTATCCTGGGTGAAGCGCTGAGCTTGCTTAGGGTGAAACCCAACCGCTGCAGCCACAAAATGGTCGTCGACCAATTCTGCCCAACGCCTCTCGTCAGTTAGGGTACCTTCGTCATAGAAATTGGCTATGCAACCCCGGAAGTTGGTCGTTTCGATCATCTTGTCCTCCAGAAATTGAGCGAGGGTACCTTCTCGATGAGCAACCCAGAGGAGTCGGTCGACGTGGCAGTGGGCGTCGATGAATGCGTTTGGGGGGTCTGTTGCATCAGGGGAAATGGGGGAAGTGGCACTGGTGGGGGAACCAACAACAGGAGCCGTTGCAGAGTTCGCCAGTGGAAAATAGAGGATATACGCGTGGGGAACTGTATGCTTCTCTCAGGGAGATGAAGAAGATTGTTGAACTTATCATATGCGTCCCATACACGCACTTCTTCTTCGCTGAAGGATAAGTTGCCATCGCCTAAGTTATTTTTGACCACGAAGCCTGGGAGACTGTGAGGGGATGTTAGATTGAGGGCAGCCGTGAGAAAGTACAGGAACTCGTACACATGGTTGTTCAACTGACCCATATGTCTATCTTCCTGAAAGGGACCATGCTCCCTCCCATGGATAGCGATCTCCCAGCGTCTACAGGTCCAACAGGAAAGTAGCGGGTACAGGAACCACCATTGGTCATGACAGATGTGGTAACGGATGACATGTCGCTTCATCTTGTCGCTTCTACGGCCACAACCGGGGAAAGGGCATGAGGTCTTGTGTCTCAGTGTCTGGTCGGGCCTGTCCTCCAATGGGCTGATTGGCTCAAGCGGCGGCATTTCTTCTGGAAGTGATAAGGCCTGCTCCAAGTCAGTGGTCTTCTCTGGGGTAGCGACCTCCAATGGCGGCATCTCATCTAGTGTCGGTGTGGTTGGCTGCAGTTCAGAAGGTTCCTCCTCCGATGGGCAACTTGCAGAAGGGGGGGGGGGAGACCAGGAATGTCTTCGTCCTGAGAACTCTCGCCATACTCCGGCTCAAAGTCACTCTCATCCATGTAGCTGTGTATACTGGAATCCTTAAAAGTGTAACATTACAATTTTTACAATGAAATGATTCTTTATTAATTTTAATCAACATTTGAAAAAACCCATTTCGTCGACAGACGCCGTGTAAATGGGGATATTCAATCATTGTTGTTGTTTTTAACAATTGTTGTCTTTGATAAAAACTCTAAAACCTCCAGCGCATCGTTTGTTCCATGCTTATCATGTTTGGGGACAGATTTACTCATACTCAGCTGCAAATCGTTTTGGGCGCTTCCACTTTTTGTTGTGATCTGATGATCCATGTTCTCAACAAACGTTGTGTCCATGGGATCAGATGTACAACAGTCAATTTCCCTGATAGGCGAACTGATATCAGAGGGGCTGACCATAGTTTCGTCACTCTTTAGGGTTTTCTCGTCTTCTTCGAAACCACTTTGGCCTAGTATTTTGTTACGCGCTTTCCGCAGCCATAAGGGAATGACATGGGTCTCACATTTTTTGAGCAGGTCATGGTGGATGACTTGAGTCTTTTTTCTATCCTGTATTTTGTACAGGAATGGAGAGAGCACTTGCGTGACCAGAAGGGGGCCCTTCCAGATCAGCTGTAACTTTTTGGACTGACCAGACTTCGTAGCTTTATTCAGTTTGTACACTAAGTCCCCCTCTTCGAATGATGTCTTGTTCTCACGGTAATCGTAATATTTCTTTTGCTGATTTTGTGCCACCCCAATATTGTCGCGTGCTAAGCTATGAACCCTTGTCATTCTGTCTTTGAGATTTATAATGTATTCAGCTGGTTGCGCATTCTGGACACTACTCCCCTGGAAATTGAATACTAGGTCTACAGGTTGTCGGACTTCTCTTCCAAGCATCATCAAGTTGGGGGTAAGTCCTGTACTGCGGTTTGGAAGAGAACGGATAGCTCCTGTGAGTATGGGTAAATCTTCATCCCACTCGGTTATGTTCCCCTTTAAGTGGCACCTGATTAGTTGTAGCAGGGTTCTGTTATACCTTTCCACCTGACCGTTCGAGCAAGGACGATATGGTGTTGTTCGAGTCTTAGCGATCTCAAGTAATTCACAAACTGCTTTAAATAATGAGCTTGTAAAATTAGTGCCTTGATCCGTGTGGATCTGTAGGGGGCGTCCAAATCTCGATATGAAGTTGTCTATTGTTGCCCTGGCAACGCTTTCTGCTGTTTGGTCGGATAAGGGGTAGGCCTCAAGCCACTTTGTAAATTGGCAGATTAACATCAAAATGTATTTATTGCCAGCTTTAGAAGGGATAAAGGGGCCAAGTATGTCTAGGTGAATGCGTTCCGCCGGTGCCCCGGCGTGATAATTTGTCAAAGGTGCTTTGAGCTTGCGCGAAGGCTTTTTATGTGTGTTGCATTCTTTACAGGCTTTCACATGCAGGCAGACATCTTCTTTCATGTTGTACCATATTGATGTCTGTCTCACCTTTTGAAGGGTTCGTGTTATGCCTGGGTGTCCAGCCATTTTAGAATTGTGACATAGGTCTAATATCTCGCTTTTTATGGCATGATGAGCCACAAACAGTAACTTGACGGAATAGTTTTCGTCCCATTTATAGTAAAGGATCCCGTCCTGAACATGAAGGAGTGACGCATTTGACCAGAAATGTTTTACATCTGGGGAGCAACTTTGAAGTTCACTTTGTTGTGGAAAAATGCAGTTTTCCTTCCATTTGAGTAACTTCCCTATGTCATGATCTTTATGTTTCAACTCACTTAGATGTTTAGTGGAGTATTTAGTAAACAGGGAGGCATTTTCGTCAACCAACAGACGTCGGTTAGGATCAGTCCTCTCGCTTACAGTAGTTGTGTTTGTGATTGTGGGTTGGTTTTCCGGTATGTTTGGGTATTGTATTGTAATGGGTGTCGACTTTGCGTTTGTATTAGAAACTTGCCGTACAGCAAGGGGGACAACATCATCAACGTCATCTTCGAAATATTTCCACTCTTTGTGGACACGTGAACAATACCTACAACCACCGCATGGGAGTGTGTACGTTACAACCTGCAAAGTAACACTCTCAAAATGGGGTTTCGCAGGGAATACGTGAAAGAGCATCAGCGTTAACGTGTTTGACCCCTTTTCTGTGGAGTATTACCATGTCATATTGGTTGAGTTCTTCTATCCATCTTGCCAACATGCCCGAAATGAGTTTAAATTGCATCAGCCAGGCCAGACTACTGTGGTCCGTTCTTATGTAAAATTGTCGACCCAGTAAATAGTGGCGGAACTGGCGTGTGAAGCGAACTACAGCCAGAAGTTCTTTTCGAGTCGTGCAGTACTTCCTTTGCGCAGGAGAGAGGACATAACGACCATAGCCAATCACTTTTTCCACCCCGTTCTGCATTTGTATTGGCTCTGCACCAATTGCGCTGTCCGAGGCGTCAGTGTCCAAAATAAATACTGCGTCCTTATCATTTTTTGGAAATGACAAGATGGGGCTGGTGGTAAGCCTAAGTCTTAACGCTTCAAATGCAATGTCATGTTCATCTGACCAAGCAAACTGTACACTTTTCTTTGTCAGTTGGTAGAGTGGTCGAGCAAGTTCAGCAAAGTCTTTTATATGGGCTCTATGGTAATTCATGAACCCGAGGAACTTCTCGACCTCTTTACTTGATACCGGCTTGGGCCAATTTTGTACCGCTGATACGCTTTCGGGGTTAGGTGATATGTCGTCTCTACTGACTAGTTTCCCAAGGAAAACCACCTCAGTTTGGAGTAGGTGACACTTTTTGGCCTTAAGCTTAAGATTGTGGTTTCTGAACTTTTCGAGCACCTGTACCAAATTTTGGATAGCATTTTCAAAGTTCTTTCCCAAAATAATGATATCATCTAGGTATGCTAAAACTTCGGTCCACTCCAACCCCCTGAGTATTAGTGTCATTGCTCTCTGGAAAGTGGCTGGGGCATTGCTCAGACCGAATGGCATGCGTGTATATTCGAAAAGACCGTGTTTGGTAGTGAAAGCAGTTTTATGCCGATCCTTGTCTGAGAGTTCGATTTGGTAGTAACCACTACTCATGTCTAGTGTACTGAAAAACATTGTCCCCTCTAATACATCTAAACACTCGTCTATGTTTGGTAGAGGAAATGCATCCTTTATAGTTGCACTATTCAGGGCCCTATAATCGATACAATATCGAACTCTACCGTCTTTCTTGCGAACTAAAACGGGAGGTGAAGCCCAGGCTGATGCCGATGGCTGTATTACACCCGACGCGAGTAAATCATCTAAATGTGTCTTCTCTTCTTTCTCAAACCCAAGTGGAGTTCTACGCATTTTCTGTCTAATGGGAGTTGCACTACCGGTGTTAATTGGATGCTTGATGGCCGAGAACTTCCCTAGGTCCATATCATTTCGGGAAAACACATCCGCATACTCTGTAAGTGTACCTGCTAACACCGCAGCTTCATCAGAGGTCAGGTTTTTACTAGAGTTTTTCAACAATCCAGCAATGTGCTCCAGGATGACATTTACCTGTCTTATGGTCATATCCGTACACTCGGCCAACAAACATCGGCCGGGTACACGGCTAGATGAAACTGTCTGCGATTCTGGAATTATTTCTGTGACTTCCTCTGCCCTACCGATTACATGTCCCCTCTTTAATCGAATATACCGATTACTGTCATTTCTTAAGCAGATAGCACAATCCCGTGACGACATGTTGGTGTCACCCCCTAGAGTCACCCCCTTGAGTATTTTTCGTCTACGTTTGTCCTCATTTCCGCGTAGATCTTGTCTCCCTTTAGTGTTAACGAGTCGTCCCCAAGGTCTATGACACCTCCCTGAGTTTTAGGAAATCTAGTCCTAAAATGAAAGGATCTGCTATTGGGGCAATCAAGAGGTCCCAAGTATAATCATGCTGACCTTTAGTCAAAGTCACCCCAACGATTCTGTTTGCGATCATGCTGCTAGATTTTTTCTGCCCCTCTCAGAACAACTTTTTCTTGTACTTGGAAGGGGGGAGTGATTTTCTCCGCTAACTCTTCGCTTATTATGGAAACTTGTGCAGCTGTATCAATGATTGCTTGTGTATGGACTTTCGAAACCTGAACTGGTATAACAAGACTAATCGCTTTGGAATGAGAAAATTGAATT